TGTTCTGTTTGCTGTAACAGAAAGAGAAAAATGTAAAACTTGAATATTGATGTAGATGAAGACATGACACATCATGTTGTAAGCTCTTGACATGATTACTTTTTACAACACTTTGATATGTATCACCATAAATTACTTTTACGTACCTCCTTTGTGGTAGTTCGGTTTTGTCCATTCCATCTCGCAGATGGGTTTTCCCGCCACTCGCCCCGCAGCCCCTCCGCTGTACACATTCCACGTTCATGATTATTACTACAACGATCTTTTCAGTCTGAAGGTCTGTCAATGTGCCTATTATTGCAATGGTAGAGCCCTTTCTGTAGTAATTTTGCACTAAAACTATGACTGCAATGACTTCATTTTGGTAAATTCTTTTGTCTGTATGAATTTTATGCATTTCTTTCAAGTTCACTTATAAAGAAGCTATGTTTTTACATATAATCGGGATTCATTGAGCCACTGTAAGGTCAAGTGTGTCTTAATAGTTCAATATAATTCTAACACGTTACATGTTACATTCTTTGATTCATTAAAATCAGATTTTTAAAGACAGACCGTAAGTTGATATGAACCGACAGGTGTCGCTGCTGCACACTCTATATTTGGACACCGGTCTGGCGAGCGCTAACACGCATGCTCAGATGACGTCATGTCCAGGAAGGCAGCCATCTTGGATCCTGTAATGTTTTGATTTGACTTTCGTCTCACTTTTCTGTGGAATTTTCTCCCAAAAGTCGGCGAGTCGGCGACACCTCCCACCGCTGTTAGAAAGATCGCGACCTTAGGTCATCCAGAATGACCATCTTGCCGAAGAAAAAGCCCGAGAGCGACGGGCAGGAGTCGACTTCGGGGGAACATTCGCATTCCCACCCGCACAGGGTGCCCCACTCCCACGGGCATCCCACTCACCCCCACCCGCACGGGACCGTCCCCGAGGCCCGGGTGACAGTCCGGCCCCGCTCGTCCCCACCCCGGTGGGGGGCTGGAGGGGCCTCCGCCCGGGAGGAGCGCTTCTCGAGCGACGAGGACGCGCCAGAGTACGGAGCGCACTCGCATTCTGGACATGCCAACAAGCGGCGGCATCGCTGCTCTGGTTCACCCCTTCGCGGCTCCAGAAAAAGGGGGGGTCTGGCGGTAGGGGGGCACTCGGCACACCCCGTGGGGTCCCCCCAGGCCCGCCCCGTGGAGAACCCCGGGGGGGAGGAACAGCCGGACGCTACCCCGGTCTACAACAGCGAGGACGAGTATGAAAACTCCCAAGACGTGGATGACAAGACTCTTATGGAGGTAACTATTAAATAGCCTCCATAGCATGCCAAAAACTGGGAGTTTTGGGGGTCTTTGGGAGCTTTTATGTGCTATTTTCTGATTGCATGTAGACAACATAGCCGGCCTGGTTGAATTACCCCCGTTTTAGAACTGGGCTAATCAGAAAACAGCCGAAGACCACCAAACCCCCAGTTCTATAAGCCTGCTACGGAGGCTACAGTAACTAACGCGTCATACGCAAAAATAAATTTTCACAGTCACACTGCATTAACTTAGTATTCCAAAAATTGCGTTATAAACACCGATCGTTTATTTTCGTTGGGGTGTGAGGATCTCTTAAAATGTTGTGCACAAGTTCTTGTACGTGCAGTGCATGTGATCAGAATAATTTAAGTCCTAAGACCTAATAATAAATCTTGTGTACGTGTAAACATACACATCATAAATAAAGGATAGGACAAAAGAAAACCTTTCACAGTTGTAACAGCTGCACAGTGGCACACATTTAAGGTTTTACAAATCTCTAACAGTAAAATGAAACTTGGAGAATTGTAAAATCAAATCTTGAGCATGGTAAGCAACAGTCCTTGGTTTGTAACGTTATATAACCTAGAAATTGTGAGATGGACCAAAGATTTTGAAATAGGATAGTTATGGTCCTTAAATATCATCTTGTCAATGCCATGTCGAAATACTTTCCATATCTAGTACATTTATCAGAATGACCAGAAGCTGTATATGTACATGTAGGTTGAAACTTTGGCCTGGGAATTGCATATAAAGTATTCTGTCTTGTCAACAAACCAACAACCTCCTCGATCACATCCATTGAACATCCTGCCATCAACATTGCTGTCATTTTCTGTCCGTCATTTGTAAATCTAATGTAAATGCTGCCTATTTCTGATCGGCAAATGGATCCAATCCAATGCCGAGTGTTACAGAAAGGAATCTAGATGCTGATCAGCTTGAATGGGTGAAAATTTCACACTTATAAAACTACAGAATACATAACCTGGTCACATGACCTGACCTGAACGTCTTCAGCACTGGTGCATGCTGGGAATGCTTAACGTCTAAACATTATAAACCTTGTTTTTATGGATTCCTTTCCGGAATGTCAACCATTTTATTATACAGTGACCAAAAAAATTTACCATCATAGCGGCATAGATTATATAGGCTTACATAGGAAGGTTTGGTAAACATTGTGCAGACAAGACCTGCATTTTGGTACAAGTACATGTATTCTTGTGCGTCATACTGTAATCTTGATGCTAGTTCCGTATCCTGGCCCCAACATACCCCACTGCATACTAAATACCAGACAGTATAAGCTCCAAGTATTGTTGCTGAAACAAAATTCAGTTGTAGCAAACTAGCATGCATGTACAGTATCAAATGTTCACTACTTTGTCTCTTTTACATTATATTTGATCATACTAGAGGCATAATTACAAAGAAACAGGAACAAGCAGCCTTGTTTTGTAGCATAAATTATGTTAAATTTCTGCACAAAGCTACACCTACTTCCTGTTTCAGAATGATTATATCCAAATTAGCATAATTTGTCCAACTACTAGTACCTCCACTCCCCTGATCTTCCCCAAATTCCTGAAGTAAAATGTCACCAATCAATTTGAATGGTTTATCTTTATTCAGACTGGTCTAACCTGGTAGTGTGCATTCTTAAGGTAATCATGCACATCTGGATCTGAAAGCTACATTCTCAGACTGAAATAAAGAAAACCTTTGAAGCAAATCAAATTTGAGGGATTGCAGGGATCATATAGCTACATGTAGGTGGTTGTTAGTCTCCACCAGACTCCTTTGCAGGCTGGATAAATAGTAGAAATCGGCTAAGGGGGACATCATTTGCCAGAGGAGTTGGCCGGCCATAGAGGGTTCATGCAGGCAAGCTGGACTCTCTATGGCCGGCCAACTCCTCTGCTAAATGATGTTCCCCTTAGCCGATTTCTATTTATTCAGCCTGGAAAGGAGTCTGGTGGAGACTAGGTGGTTGTACATGTACTAAAAAACAAGAAATGTCATCACACCTTAACACGCTTTCTACATGTAGATAGTTTGATTTCTATGTTAATGTGTTCTTTGGATATTATACAGGATGATTATTTATGAAAAATGTATAATTATTGCCTTTGTTGCTATGATTTCTAGATGGAGGCCCGATTCGAACATGCTCTGAAAGAAAAGAAGGGATGGACCATTCGACAGATGGGGGTGGACGGGGCCTGTCTGTTTCGTGCAGTTGGTGAGTACAGCCTGTTCACCCCTGTATCTATTTTTGGTACTGTCTAAGCAGCACAATTTAATTTTTTTGCATGAAGAAGAGCTACCAAGAATGCCTTGGTGTCTTTTTGCTTTTTTGTAAAAGATTTTTTGATTGAATCGTGCAGATTTTCAAAATCAGATGATTGGGGTGCAGATGATTAGGGTAATTAACACTGTCTGAGAGAACACTCGTTAACGTGTGGACACAAGTAAACGTCTGATGCACCTCTGCCATGTGTCACTTTTCTCAACTTTTCTCTACCAACTCGTCAATAATATTATCTTTTCTACTTTGCTGTACTTGCTTTTCTATTCTGTTGTTCTATCTCCTACTGTATCAATCTCCAAGCAGATCATACGGTGGCAAGACAGTATCCATTGGCCATCACACATTTGTAGCAACAAATGACGATGAAAAAGCTGAAGTCCTCAACAAATTTTTCGTCAGCACTTTTACCAAAGAGAATACCCAGTCAATCCCTGAGCCGACACAGAGAATGTATGAGGAAGACCTCAACAACATAAACGTCAGTGGGGAAGATGTAAGCAGAAGGCTGAAAAACCTGAACCCGAACAAGTCACCGGGGCCAGACAACATCCACCCACGGGTATTAAAGGAAATGGCGGAGGTTCTAGCAACACCACTTCAGATAATATTCACAAAATCATTGGAAGAAGGAAAACTCCCGAGGGAGTGGAAGATTGGTCATATAACTCCCATCTTCAAAAAAGGAAGCAAGAAATCTCCCAGCAACTATCGCCCCGTAAGTCTTACTTCAGTAACAGGAAAAGTCCTGGAAGGAATCGTGAGGGATCGAATTGTGGACCATATGAAAAGCAATGAGCTGTTTACAAAACACCAGCATGGGTTCTTACCAGGAAGGTCGACAGTGACTCAGATACTAGAATGTCTGGAAGACTGGACAGAATCTCTAGATGGGGGTGAACCAACAGATGTGATCTATTTAGACTTTCGAAAGGCATTCGATTCCGTGCCAATACAACGACTCCTAACAAAAATACGCAAGCTACGGTATAAAAGGGAAACTGCTACAATGGATTGCTTCATTCTTGTCAGACCGCAAGCAGAGAGTATGCGTTAATGGAGCGCTGTCAAGTTGGGCTGAGGTAACAAGCGGAGTACCGCAGGGAAGTGTCTTAGGACCTGTGCTCTTTACAGTTTTTGTAAACGACATGCCTGAAGCAGTAACAAGCCAGCTGAAGCTATTCGCAGATGACACAAAGATGTACTGCCCTGTGACCCAAGAAAAACACTGTGAAGAGCTCCAAGCGAACCTCTACAAACTAGAAGAATGGTCAACTAAATGGCAGCTGTGTTTTCATCCGGACAAATGTACAGTGCTAAGGATTGGGTCAGGACATCCACCATATACGTACACAATGAAGGGCAAATCTGGTCTGATACCATTAAAATTTACCACGGAGGAGAAAGACCTTGGGATCATAGTTGACCGGGACTTGAGTTTTGAAAAACACATTGCAAAAATGACAGCAAAGGCCAACCAGCTCACAGGTCTTCTATGGCGGACCTTTGAGTACATCGACACAGAGGTCTTCTTACTACTCTACAAATCACTGATTCGACCACATCTTGAATACGGTGCACCAGTTTGGTCCCCACACCAATGGAAGCAGGCCGACCAAATAGAAAACGTACAAAGAAGAGCAAGTAAAAGGGTGCCTGGTCTAAACAATCTACCATATGAGGAGAGACTTAAGGTGCTTAGGCTCCCGACACTGGTATATAGAAGAATACGTGGGGACATGATCATGACCTACAAATACACTCATGGGAAGCTGGACACAGAGGGTTGCCTACCAAAAATGCAAGAAAAAAGAAGGACAAGAGGGAACAGCCTACGACTAAACAAAAGATCAGTGAACAACAACAAAAGACTGTTTTTCTACAGCAACAGGGTAGTAACATGGTGGAACAGTCTACCGGAAGAGGTAGTGTCAGCCCCAAGTGTGAACAGTTTTAAAAATAGACTGGACAAACACATGAGAAGTCATCCAGTGGTGTACAACCCCCGGGCATTGGACAACCCACACAAGATGACCATGTCTACGCAGTAAACTACAAGGAGCGGCTCAAAGTGGAAGAGAACTTCCTACCGAGACGAAAGATCTACTCTACTCTACTCTACTCAGAGGAGTGGCCATTAGCCACTGGATACTGTCTTGCCACCGTATGATCTGCTTGGAGATTACTACTGTATATGAATGTAGTAGATAAATGTATGTGGGGGTGGACTAATTCTCAAGCTAACCAACATCTTTTGCCAGTGGCTCTGGCTATGGGATGCCTGGGGTGCAAAAGATGTTGGTTGGCTTGATGATTAGTCCATGCTACATATATCTTCTGTGGCATGTGCACAGAATGCATGTTTCTGCTGAATGTGGTGGTCAGGATCAGTCTGTTGATCATAATTTGCTTGAAATTGTTTTGCCAAAACCCATGCACCTTAACCAGAAGTCCTGTGTTAATTTTATTAGAAGATCACAAGATTTTCAAAATTTTCAACCAAAGATTAGGCTTTAGGCCACACCAATTTGATTTGTTGGTTCTCGAATTTTTTAAGAAAAAATATGAAGCGACAGGGTGAAAAAAATGAAAATAAACACAGGCCTAGGCATTTTATGATAGCCCCAAATGCTATGATAGGAGCTCATATTTTGGAGTTGATTCAGAGCCTAAAATGTTCATTATTTTCTGAATGAAGCGGGCGAATCCGTGAACCAACAAATTAAATTGGTGTGGCCTTATCTTCACTTAGTACAATGCATACCGATATGGTAGGGAGAAACACCCTAGTGCAGGCATGACTGTGACTGTTGTTATAATAACACCTGCGATATTCCCTTGTTCTGTCCAGCTGACCAGGTGTATGGTGACCAGGAGATGCATTCCATAGTGCGCAACCACTGCATGGACTACATGGTTTGTATTGCAGACTTTGTGTGTTTGTTAAAATTTAAGATTTTGAAGTTAGCTCCCATTTCAGATTCAAGCTCAGCAGAGGAGCAGTAAGATTTGAAATTAGGTTGTTTTTTTTTATATGGTGCACCCAAGATATTTTTTGTGCACCAAATTTTTTTATGTTGGGTGCACCAGTGCACCTATTCCCAAAAATGAATTTTGAGCCCTGCCTTTTTTGCAATGTCTTGTATCTTTTGCTTTTGAAAAAGGACTATTACAAAAGATCCAATATTGAATTGTGCAGTTTTCAGAAGACTCATACATCTACAATTTTACAGTTACATTGCAATTCTGATAAAACTCAACAATGAGTTTTAAAATGATGCTCATCTTTTCTTCTCATTTTTTTCCAGTTGAAAAACTATGATTACTTCTCCCAGTACGTGACTGAGGACTTCATGACATATATCAACCGTAAGCGTAGCGACCATTGCCATGGCAACCACCTGGAGATGGTTGCTATGTCGGAGATGTACAATCGGCCCATCGAGGTGTATCAGTACAGTACAGGTGAGGTCCACAGGCATTTATCCAGTCATATTCACTTCACTTATATAGAGACACAAGGAATTTGAAAAATTTCAATTTGAAAATGTTGAAAGGCTTTTAAATCTTTACAACTATAAAGTTTATGGTAGAAATACTACGGTAGTTCAGAATGAATTCTACCCAAACATGTGATATCCATCAAGCCAAGGTTTGAAGCTAAGGGTTATGTCGTCAGGTGGCAAACTGGTCTTGACTCAGAATATGAAGATTCTAGGTTCCTTGACAGGCCCCAGTGTTGTGCCCTGGGGAAAAGTATTTTGCACAAATTTTCTCACACGATTCAGGTAAAAATGAGTACCCAGCTTCAATCCTGCCACAAATGGACAAATATATCGTGATAAATACGTGAGATATGATGATATTATTGTTAGTTACAGAGTTTAAACCTTAGTTCCAACACATGGTGAGTCTTTCTTTTTGTGTTGAAACTAAGGTTTAAACTCTGTAACTATGGATTTTAGCAACACAGATACTGTAATTCCTGTTTTTTTCGCAGTACCATTATGTTATGTTTTCACTGTCACTTCTGTACCCTGAACTTATCATTACAGTGAACAAATAATTCATGGACTTTTTTTTCCTGCACCTGTCGCCACTGAATATATAGTTCCGTGAACATGTCCATTTTTCTCAGATCATGAACTTTTGCTACCGTGAACATAAAGTGAATTACATTAAGCTTTCATTCAAATGATGTTGTTGTTGTTTTTTCCAGAGCCATGCAACACATTCCATGGCATGCACGTGACAGATAATGAGCCTATCCGTGTGAGTTACCACATGAAGCGCCACTACAATTCCATAGTCAACCCCTGGAAGGCCACCATCGGTGTGGGACTGGGACTACCCGCATTCAAACCTGGGGTGAGTTTTCAATGTGCTGGACAGTTTAGGGGTCAGCAGAACTGACTGGAGAGTGCTGGCGGAAAACAGAACATCCTGGAGGGACATGTCTGCAGCCGCCATGTATCTGCTCTGATGCTTGCCGTTGGTTGGTTGGTTGGTTGGTTGGTTGGTTGGTTGGTTGGTTGGTTGGTTGGTTGGTTGGTTGGTTGGTTGGTTGGTTGGTTGGTTGGTTGGTTGATTGTGAGATGGATTTTAAATAGTCAGTTTCTTCAAAACAAGGCTCAAAATGTATTGTAGTGTATACTGTATTGTAGTGCATTTTATGGGGGAGGGCAACTTGTAAAGGTGCGTATGCACCTGTTTTGCCCTCCCTTTCACTTTGTGAAAAATCAAAATAAACAAATAAACAAATTTGTTGTAGTATGTTCTCTATATATAGCCAGGATATGTTTGCAAAGCAAAAAGAGACACATCAGTTTTCTATGGATTTACACTGTCAGGTGAAAAGGGAAAAAAAGGACTATTTTGTCTTGAAGATTGGTTGAGAATTGGAACTAAGTTGTCTTTTTTTCTCTTTTGTTTTCAGCTTGCGGACAAACAACAGGTAGATGATGCTATCAAGGCCTCAGAGGAGTCAGAACTTCAACAGGTAATGTTTCTATGTGTAGACATAATGTGACAAACATTAGGAAACAAAATAGAACACACAAAAGTTAGTGCTACTATAAAGAAAGGTTTTTACATGTAACTGAGTTCACTCTTGCTTCATTTGAAAATTTTTGAACTAGTCATAGAATATGTTGTGTTGCCTTGTATCTTTGGAAAACCTGTAACATTTGTTAACTGTGTAAAAAGTTAGAATTTGAGTTTGACTTTATTTGGATTGGCAATAAGCTTCAGTTTATACAGTTAGCTGTTCTTCCAGTGGTCTTCACATTAGTACATAAAAAGGATAGCAGACAGGATACTGTCCCATCATGTAGTGTATTTTCCATTGGTGTAGCGTTGTTTGCTTGTGCTTGTCATAGACTAATGTGTGAGGAACACGTTTTCCAGACGATGTTGGAGGATAAGATGCGTTACACAGACTGGGAGGCCACCAACGAGGCGATCGAGGAACACGTGGCGCGGGAATCGTACCTGGACTGGCTCCGGGAACAGGAGAAACGTGCGCGCCAGGCCACCGCTGTAAGTCTCTGGTTTGGACATCATCGTGAGGCCTAGGAAAAAAAACGTGTTTCCTGTTTCAGTCCTGACATATGAAAGAAACTGTTAACCCTTGTCCTGCGGAACCCATATACATGTATATATGGGTTGGACATACAGTACCATCCATATAGCGCCCTTTATATGTACGATTTGGGGGTATTTCTCATTCAATGCATCACACCAAAGCAAAACGCAATGAATGCGGAAGTAACTACCCCAGTATGCCACCACAGGGCAAAAAAGTCAGGGGTCTATGACCCGATTAAGACATGAAATTGTTTAGCTTATAGTGATCTTTCCACAAGGCCTGTGGATTGTGTAAGACCTTAAGACTCATGCCATTGTTTCTTTTACAGCCACGTAGTGCGAGTGCTACCTGTAGCTCGGCCGAGGCGGCGGCCAGTCGGCCCCGAGGAGGGCGTTCTCCCCGGAACCACAGTTCCAACAACTCGCCGGCGAACACGCCCGAGAGAGCCGAGACCAGCGACCATCACGGGCCCCCCTCCCCACGCGCCGCGACATCCGGGGACCCACATGTACATACAGCTGTAGATAGGATAGGTGAGGGGTGGTCTTTTATTCTTGTTATCGTTTAGTATTACATATATTATTATGATGATTCTTTACTGTTGCACCAGTGCACGTATTCCCAAAAATAAATTTCAAGCCCTGTACTAAATATCGTTCATGTAATAATGTGATGGTTATTCATTTACTTATATGCTCTTGAACCATTGGAATGTATAGATTTTTTAGAGAATTCTGAACATGATTACTGTATGTAGCGTGCCTAGTCCAGTGGTTAGCAGCCTGACTCTGGAGTAAGAGCTTGGGAGTTCGAATCCCGCAAGTTGTCGCTCACGCGACATGTACACTACTGGAAAGGGTTGCAGTCCTTAGGACGGGACATTAAGCCGTGGTCCACTGTTCATTGTGCTTGTCGAAAAGAGCAAGGGAATTTCCCAAGTACAGTGAACCTGTAAATACTGTACATAGCGTCTGTCTTCTCTGTTACGACCAGTGGGAGATTCAGTGAGCTAAAACTGGTTCAAGGCCACTTTCCACTTTCTTTTATGTGAGATAATAGAAATCCTTTCGAAGGAAATCTCTAAGTCTGAAGTTGTTGTTTCCCCCCTGTAGGTAGCCCAGTTGTGCAGGGACCCAGTGCAAAAAGCCCCAGCCCCCTGCCGCTGGGCGCAGAGGGGGGTGCTTCTCCTGTAGCTGGCGTCTCTGGAACTCTGGAGGATATACCCCCAGCAGCTTACGGTTGGTAGTCTGTCTTTACTGTAATTCCTGATTTGTTCACTGTACTGTTAGGTTCACTGTTTTCACTGTCACTTCTATACCGTGAACTTAACACTAAACAAATAATTACTGGACTTTCTTTTTTCTGCACCTGTTGCCACCGTGAATATATAGTTTCGGGAACATGTCCATTTTTCTCAGACCGTGAACTTTTGCTACTGGGAACATAAAGTGAATTACAGTATTTTAAGGAGATATTATGGATGTATGGCAACACTGCATTCAATTGTGTATATGAGGAGTCATGGACAGGCAAAAAGACAAGCTAAAAATGAGTCAAATCTGTACAAGTGTCCACTTCTACTCTTAAGTTATTTTTATGGTATTTTAAGAAGACTTTTGAAAATAATTTTTTTCATCTACTTGGTAAAACATAGGACATTGCTGTTTTCTGTTTACATAACCAGTAATACCTCTCACCTGCTTACGTGTCTATCAGACACCTTCGTCAGAGCTTCTGATTGGAGTTCTGTTTCTCGCCGTTATATGTAGCCGATAGGCATTGATATTGTATTCTCGCCACAAAAGCACCACCTACATTGGTGGCATTAGTGACAAGAAACAGATTTTATTGATCTCCTGAGTGGTCTTCTTTGGCAGTTGAGGCTACTTAATTCACTTGTGGTGAAGTAAAAAAAAAAGCTTTACAAAAACTGGTGGTGTGAAGCTAACAGCCATGTTTGTTTACGTTCAGATGTTTCAGCTAGTATCCACAAGCTTTCGTCAGTGACTGAGAGACCAGAGGAAAAATGCAGGTTTATAAGCAGAAACTATTGATTCATATGCAAATAGTTTGTGCTTATAAACCTGCATTTTTCCTCTGGTCTCTCAGTCACTGACGAAAGCTAGTGGATACTAGCTGAAACGTCTGACCGTTTCCAAAATCATATCCAGTTGCTTGAGTAACTGCTTTTTGGCGTATCGTATTACCTGGATGTCTAACCTTCATCGACGTGCCATGTTTGTTTGTGTGTCCTACAGGCCTCACAGATTGGGATGACGACGACCTTCTGGCCAACGTGCTCGCCATCTCACAACAGGAGTACCTGGACTCGCTCAAAAGAACAGTAGCCGTCAACAATCCAGAACAACAACAACAACAACACATGATGGACACTCATCCCCCTTTCAGTATGCAACACTCGGATGCAAAAGGCACCAGCTAATGCTGGCTTGAAGACTGATATATTTCCACAAAATGTTTATGATTTTTTTTTCCTTTTGTTTTATATATAACTACTAATAGAAAACATGATGAGGTGGTTAAATTTTATAATGAATTATATGAAATGGTCAGACAATGAAGCGTATTAGTTATCAATGTAGAGTTCTGCTAGGTTAAATATAGTGATTCCATTTTTATATTGCCTATATGATGTCAAAGGAAGTTGAATGGAATCCTTTTTTAGAAGAAAACTGTGGCATATCGCTGCCCCCTTTCTTGCAAAAGGCCATAGAATTCAACCCCAAAAGCACAATGAATGTGTTATACTATGTAAAATCTACCCATTTTCTAGTCTTCATACCTAGATTATAATTGTGAAACAGTTGTTAGTAATCTAATCCAATACACAGATTCTCCATCAACCCAGCTAAAGATGTAACTCGTGCAGTTTTGATGTAAATTTTGGCCATCCAGTGCAGGGCACTTATCACTGTAAATTCAAAAAGAGGGAGGGGGTTAGAGATGGGATATAGGCAGGCCAGCTTTTGAAATTTACAATGGTGCTTGATGACATTAATGCCAGTATTAACAATTTTCTCTTTGTGAACCCCCTGTACATACCCCTACACCCCCCAAGGGATCATATTGACAGGTCCATAGGAGTTTGTCTAGGCCGAAACTGTTGCATACTGGATGAATGTTTCACCCTAAGAAGTGCACATATGTGAATATCGACAACGCACCCCAAATCCTTGTACATGTCTTATAATGTAGTCTGTGCCCATAACATTGCATAAGGTGACAACTTGAGGTTTTTTTTCACAGATTGTTTCCCCGGAATCGGATCAAACCTCCATACTGACTGCCTTTTCCTTCTGTAACTGTTGTGACTGTTAGCACGTCGGCAGAACGTACCGCGCCTTTGCGAAACCCGTAATGTGTTGTGCATAGCACTTCGGTACGACGTCTCATATAAGGTCATATTCGCACATGTAAGGTTAACACTCTGTCTCTAGTTTCTAAATGTTGTGTTGGAAAAAGTGTAAATTCTGATGCAACGTTGACCAAAAATCCAGCGACAACCGTGAAAAATGGGGTTTCGTGCAGTACGTTCTGCCGATGTGCTCTTCTAACTGTAACTGTTGTGACTGTTATTGTACCCTGGATGATGTGTATTCAGTCATTGTAAACCTGGGGAAGAACCAACAATGATATAACATATTCGATATGGTGCTACCAGGAAGAGGAATATGCATCTGTGTTTTTTTAGCAACACTTTTTTTTTTTTACAAAAAAAAAACTAATGAAGGTACAGGGTAAAAGAAGGGGACATCACAAACATTTGCATGGTACTGACAAACTTTTCAAGCCCTAGCTAAGATACTGTCAACTTTTGTATGTCGTGAGCAAAGATTGTCCAGCTATAAAAAGATATGATTACACCAGCTTTGTTCACAAGAAGGAATCCAGGTCCTGCCTGCATTTTTTATATATGTATATCTGAGATTCCGTCATGTAATTGAAGACATTATAAAATGTCCTTGGCATAATCAGTATTACATGAGAGGCCCCCTTTCTGTACAGAGGGTCTGGAAGGGGTTTACCATGATTCTGAAATGTTGTAATTAGATTTTGAAGTAGACTAAATTGCACAAAACCTGTGAATATCTGATGAATATGTGTAAGATATGGCCCATTTTCTTTTTCAGAATGGTTTGAAAATTTCGACTGGTTGAAGAAGATCGTTCATGTCGGCAAATTTTACCCAGGCCCCAATTTCATCAGTATTCTGAAATCTTGAAGTCTGTGGAGAAAAAGAAAAATCCCTGTCCTAAAAAACCTCTAGAGGAAATTAATCATGACATAAGGACAGTTTCTAAGCACAATCTGAACAGAAACTGTTATTAAGGGAGTCTATTGGGGTGCAAAAATGATACACGTCCACAAAAATTGTAAATTGGAGCTCAAAATTCAGGACATCAGACCTGAAATTCCACAATTAAGACAGAACTGTGTCACCATATTACATGACTGCAGCTGATAGTAAAAGTATAACAATCACAATGAATTTTTCAAGCTAGGTTGAATATATATAAGTGCTTCTAAACAGCAGAATGCAGTTTAAGTGCCTTCCTTTTAGTATGCTTCCATATTTTTATGTTCATTTGCCTTAATTATTGCTACAAAGCTTTTGACTTTTTGTTGTAATTATTATTACCAATGTTGATCTCACAGCAAATAGGAACTATAACTTATTATGTTGAAGGAAACAGAGTGTTATTATTATTTGATTATGCAAACATGTATATGACAGGCTTACACCACGCAGATTTATTTTATGTAGCAGAAATTTGGTTTAAACAATTTATTCAGGATAATGAGTTTAACTTAGTATAACAGGAAAAGAACAAATGATTCGTATGATGGAAAGAGAATTAAAAAAATGTGGATAACATCTGTGTTTATACATTGTAAGTTGTTATACTTCTTTGATTTAAGTTTCTTGTTTTGGTCTGTTTTATGGTATTTTACTGAACCAGAACTGAGTTTGTTCGTTGAAAATGATTCATACTAAATTATTATTGGCAATGCACCTACATACACAGTTAAATGTTATTATGTCTCATATTATACATGTAGGTAGACTGAGGAGTAAAAGCGAAAACACTTTCTCACTGACTCAATGAAGTTTGTAAAATTTTTCTCAAAGTCTAAACTTTATCCATCCATTTGCAATTTTTGTGCTCTGCTATTAAATGATAACATGGAAGAACTGAACTGACAATCTGACATAGAAAACTCTTTACGCTAAAGGATGCTACTACTTTTCCTTCATCCTAAGGCGGTCATATAGCTTTATATCATCTGTATGCTACACTAGATGTTGAAACGCAAACTTGGACCAATATTCAACAGCCCCACCTAACGACTGTAAATATTATTGCAGATATCAGGCTCCAAATAGGTCCCCTTCTGTCAAAGGAGGGCACAAACTTATCTCCAAGCAGATGTTTAGGTGGCCAGACAGTATCCATTGGCCAGACTGTACCCACTTGCAAATGGATACAGTCAGGCCAATGGATACTGCCTGGCCAATTTGATACTGTCTTTTGCGGCCACCTAAACATCTGCTTGGAGATTAGGCACAAACCCAATATAGACCTATTTCACACCAAGAATTGGGGGCAGATAAAAATAAGGTTAAAGGATATTTTTCCAGGGGAGCCTTAAAACTGCGGTAAACATAAGTAATAAAGGAACTATCCATTTGGGTGAAAGGCTCTTCTGACCCTTGCGCCTATTCCCCGTTCCCAAAACAGCCCAAAATCAGGAACTTGGCGGCCCTTCTGTGTATTGCCGCTAGCGGCTTGGAGGATGAACTGCAGGTTAGGCTGAGGCAGGGAATTCCACATTGCAATAAGTTTAATATGTAGCTTGAGAGCAGAACAGAGCAGTATTGTTTATTAAACTATCATTGCAAAGTTTATGAGGCTATATCTTATACACAATATAGGGAATTTGGAGAGACTGATTTCAAGGACCGACGTCAAACTTTACATAGCCACCTAGATGAGAAAAACATTGTCTTAGTCTCCAACAAAAATACTAAAATTTAGCCAAATAGGGAGCATACTTTTCTAAGGGACTCTAGCCACCCTAGAGTTCATTTTTCTCGCGTAGTTTATACAAGGATATTTTACAAAATTTCCTTGGTTTATGGTTAATGTATGAATGAATGAATGACTGGTTTATTATGTTAAACATCGCAGCCATCAGGCTGAAGTACGTTCCACTTACATAATACATTAAATAATAAACAACTCACTTTAACAAAAAGCGTAAAATATTACCAAGTGTTAAAATAATGTAATATTGGGAAATGTCACCCTTATAGCGGCTCACGCTTCTGGCCAATTAGCGACCCATTTTTTGCAGAATCTTACCATCCAAAACCCTTTAGGAAGACCTGGTGGAGGCTACAATGATATTGTATAGGCTCGCATTTCAGAGAGATGGAAGGATAGACGTCAGAAATGCAACACCTTCCGGCGGCTCCGGCAGCAAAATCGTAATGAGCAATTAATGATGAACAGACGCCTCACTTTGACGTGCTCGGTGCGTATTAATTAATCCTTAGCTTCTAGTTAGCAACTTTCAGGTTTTTCTTTTTCAAAATGTAAATGTCATAGGGTGGTAGGAAAGAAAAGCCCGTAGCTCCCAGTGCAAATGAACATCGGGTGTTACAAAATGGTGTCCAGTCTCATCTTAATGCATTGTATGTTCCTTGTAAATTACAGTTTAAACCTGCTAAAGAAGTATTTGCCGGAAGGTCGCCGAAATTCATTCTTTCCTAGAACTATCGCAGAGTGGAACTCACTGTCACCAAGTATAGTAGGGGCATTGTCAATAGATAGCTTTAAACAATGTCTAGAGCCAGAAGTTCAAGGGTTAGGTGTAACAAGTCGATCGGTGTAATATAGCCAGCTGCCGCCGCGCGTATTTTTCCAGGCTACTACAAACCCCCACTGTCGTGCAAAATGTCATTAAAGGTTTACGGAAGGATTTTCTAAATGCACTGATTGTGGCGCGAATGGGACATTCAGGAAGCTGTAACTGTCGTGTCCGCACTGATTCCTGGATGGAGATGTCCGCTCTTTGACTCACCATTCCATTAGAATAAATGAACTTTTATTGCAAATGTCGGAAAGCTAATTGCACGTAACATGGGTATAATGGTGATGGATACAACGATAACAAGAACCGTTGGGTGAGAAAAAAATTCCAGTGAAAAAGAGAAACACCGATTTAAAAAAAGCCTAAAAACACGCCCAAAATAACCCCAAACCCAAACCTCTGCTTGGAGAATAAGTAAGCTATATGCTACATTTTGAAAACATACATTGATTAGTTTTGTTATATATGTTTGTCTTCATCCTTTGAAGCAGTGAAGGACGAATTTCCCCTCTTCTTCAGTAATATATAAGTTCTTCATTATAATAGTAGAACTATTTTCCCATGGTCACTCAGGACTTGTGATAAAGTAAGAATTTATAATGTATTTCGGACACGTTGGTGAATCCTTATAAATCCTTGACGTAGAGGACGCCGTTTGAAGAGGTATCAGGCTCGCGTGGATTAAGAAGAACATAAACGGCTCAACTCTTAACTAGTTCATCTCTTTCCATCCGGTTTTTTAGTTCATTTTACACCGGAACCGCCTGATGACGTCATTCTTTGATGGCCTGGGGATGGACACTCAAAATAATGTCTTCACGCATGTGACTCAGAGAAACATGTGGCTGATTGCATTTCTCACAGTAGTAAAATCTTAGTATCAAATACTAGTAGTAAAGATAATGGTATAAAACAGTAGTATCAAATTGGCAGGATATAGTATCCAATATGATACGACGTAGACTTGCCCTGGCAGGGCATGTTGTTCGTAGTAACGAACCAGCTGGTAGACTAGTACAGTGGCTTCCTACTGGGAGACGTAGAGTGGGACGTCCTTATACTACTTATACTACACTTTTGTCCATGTTAGAGAGAGACACTGGT